AAAGTTCACTCGTTCTCTCAGAGATGGCGCCACATATCATGCCCAGGAGGTGCTGCCCTCTTATCGGCGAAAATTTGAACTAATGCGAATTCTTTAATAAGATTTACTCATTGAAATTTCGACGATGGGATTTTTAAATTGAATTCGGAATTATTTTAACTGAGAAAGTTCACCCGTTCTCTCAGAGATGGCGCCACATATCATTCCCAGGAGGTGCTGCCCTCTTATCGGCGAAAATTTGAACTAATGCGAATTCTTTAATAAGATTTACTCATTGAAATTTCGACGATGGGATTTTTAAATTGAATTCGGAATTATTTTAACTGAGAAAGTTCACCCGTTCTCTCAGAGATGGCGCCACATATCATTCCCAGGAGGTGCTGCCCTCTTATCGGCGAAAATTTGAACTAATGCGAATTCTTTAATAAGATTTACTCATTGAAATTTCGACGATGGGATTTTTAAATTGAATTCGGAATTATTTTAACTGAGAAAGTTCACCCGTTCTCTCAGAGATGGCGCCACATATCATTCCCAGGAGGTGCTGCCCTCTTATCGGCGAAAATTTGAACTAATGCGAATTCTTTAATAAGATTTACTCATTGAAATTTCGACGATGGGATTTTTAAATTGAATTCGGAATTATTTTAACTGAGAAAGTTCACCCGTTCTCTCAGAGATGGCGCCACATATCATTCCCAGGAGGTGCTGCCCTCTTATCGGCGAAAATTTGAACTAATGCGAATTCTTTAATAAGATTTACTCATTGAAATTTCGACGATGGGATTTTTAAATTGAATTCGGAATTATTTTAACTGAGAAAGTTCACCCGTTCTCTCAGAGATGGCGCCACATATCATTCCCAGGAGGTGCTGCCCTCTTATCGGCGAAAATTTGAACTAATGCGAATTCTTTAATAAGATTTACTCATTGAAATTTCGACGATGGGATTTTTAAATTGAATTCGGAATTATTTTAACTGAGAAAGTTCACCCGTTCTCTCAGAGATGGCGCCACATATCATTCCCAGGAGGTGCTGCCCTCTTATCGGCGAAAATTTGAACTAATGCGAATTCTTTAATAAGATTTACTCATTGAAATTTCGACGATGGGATTTTTAAATTGAATTCGGAATTATTTTAACTGAGAAAGTTCACCCGTTCTCTCAGAGATGGCGCCACATATCATTCCCAGGAGGTGCTGCCCTCTTATCGGCGAAAATTTGAACTAATGCGAATTCTTTAATAAGATTTACTCATTGAAATTTCGACGATGGGATTTTTAAATTGAATTCGGAATTATTTTAACTGAGAAAGTTCACCCGTTCTCTCAGAGATGGCGCCACATATCATTCCCAGGAGGTGCTGCCCTCTTATCGGCGAAAATTTGAACTAATGCGAATTCTTTAATAAGATTTACTCATTGAAATTTCGACGATGGGATTTTTAAATTGAATTCGGAATTATTTTAACTGAGAAAGTTCACCCGTTCTCTCAGAGATGGCGCCACATATCATTCCCAGGAGGTGCTGCCCTCTTATCGGCGAAAATTTGAACTAATGCGAATTCTTTAATAAGATTTACTCATTGAAATTTCGACGATGGGATTTTTAAATTGAATTCGGAATTATTTTAACTGAGAAAGTTCACCCGTTCTCTCAGAGATGGCGCCACATATCATTCCCAGGAGGTGCTGCCCTCTTATCGGCGAAAATTTGAACTAATGCGAATTCTTTAATAAGATTTACTCATTGAAATTTCGACGATGGGATTTTTAAATTGAATTCGGAATTATTTTAACTGAGAAAGTTCACCCGTTCTCTCAGAGATGGCGCCACATATCATTCCCAGGAGGTGCTGCCCTCTTATCGGCGAAAATTTGAACTAATGCGAATTCTTTAATAAGATTTACTCATTGAAATTTCGACGATGGGATTTTTAAATTGAATTCGGAATTATTTTAACTGAGAAAGTTCACCCGTTCTCTCAGAGATGGCGCCACATATCATTCCCAGGAGGTGCTGCCCTCTTATCGGCGAAAATTTGAACTAATGCGAATTCTTTAATAAGATTTACTCATTGAAATTTCGACGATGGGATTTTTAAATTGAATTCGGAATTATTTTAACTGAGAAAGTTCACCCGTTCTCTCAGAGATGGCGCCACATATCATTCCCAGGAGGTGCTGCCCTCTTATCGGCGAAAATTTGAACTAATGCGAATTCTTTAATAAGATTTACTCATTGAAATTTCGACGATGGGATTTTTAAATTGAATTCGGAATTATTTTAACTGAGAAAGTTCACCCGTTCTCTCAGAGATGGCGCCACATATCATTCCCAGGAGGTGCTGCCCTCTTATCGGCGAAAATTTGAACTAATGCGAATTCTTTAATAAGATTTACTCATTGAAATTTCGACGATGGGATTTTTAAATTGAATTCGGAATTATTTTAACTGAGAAAGTTCACCCGTTCTCTCAGAGATGGCGCCACATATCATTCCCAGGAGGTGCTGCCCTCTTATCGGCGAAAATTTGAACTAATGCGAATTCTTTAATAAGATTTACTCATTGAAATTTCGACGATGGGATTTTTAAATTGAATTCGGAATTATTTTAACTGAGAAAGTTCACCCGTTCTCTCAGAGATGGCGCCACATATCATTCCCAGGAGGTGCTGCCCTCTTATCGGCGAAAATTTGAACTAATGCGAATTCTTTAATAAGATTTACTCATTGAAATTTCGACGATGGGATTTTTAAATTGAATTCGGAATTATTTTAACTGAGAAAGTTCACCCGTTCTCTCAGAGATGGCGCCACATATCATTCCCAGGAGGTGCTGCCCTCTTATCGGCGAAAATTCGAACTAATGGAAATTCTATACTATGAATGCTTGATAATTTCAAAAATCAAAAAAAAGTGTGCGAGTACCAAAAAGTAAAGCAATTTTTTGAAAGTGGCCCTATCACAATTTGACCTGTACCAGCCTCTTCTGTGGACTATTCTAACTTTTTGAATTAAGAGATCTTTCAAAATTTCAAGGAAAAAGCCCTATAAACCCAGCCGGTTTCGAGATACAGCCGACCAGAGGTGCAATTTCGAGAGTTGAATTTCAAACTATATTAGGAGTAGGTGAAGGATGC